CAATCATCCGACGCGGTTGTGCATCTCGTGTCGCCTCCCGGTATTTTACGACTCCCTGATTGGAAAGGCTTCCTGTCTGAAGCCTTTCCATACTGGTACTCGATGTTCCAGTTTTGTGACACGAGAATGGCACGAGAATTAGTGTACCGCTGAGTGTACCGCTATACACGTGGTCGACACGTAGTTGACACGTTGTTGATACTTTTTTGACACGTGACCCCGTCAACGGTCTGCTTTGCAGCTTTGTGCCAATGCCACTCGGTAAACGCCGATGTCGCGTACGACAAAGACGTCTATCCCGTACGCGAAATAGTTGAGCATGACGTGGACCTGACGGCAAGGACAACTGCGAGAAGGCCCCTTTCGGTACCCCTGAGTCCTGACGGGAAGGAGAACTGCAGAAGTCGACGAAGTCGAACGAGGAGGCCCCTTTTCCGTACCCCATACTGCAAAGTGCCATTGATGGATACCTTTTGCACCTGGAACGACCCCTTAAACGCTGTCGCGGCGACTATCCCGTACGCGAAATAGTTGAGAACTGCTGACGTGGACCTTTTGCACCTGGAACGGCCCCGTAAACGCTGTCGTGTCGGCGGAGTGAATGTGCAGGGTACTAGGGTGAAAAGAATTGCTGCAAAGACGTCCCCTCTACTAGGCTCTAGGCCTTTGCCTTTGGAGACATCGTCGGCGAACTGAATGCGCAGGGCGAAAAGAATTGCTGCAAAGACGTCCGCTCTAGGCCTTTGGAGACATCGTGGGAACTCCTTCCGGTACTATACAAACTGCTGACGTGGCCGTGGACATGTACTTGGAGAGTCATGGTGGGACTTCATGTACATGGATACATGGTGGGAATTCCTTCCGGCACCCCCGTACCGCAAAGCCAACGGTGGGGAAGGAGAAGTGCAGACGTGCAGGAAGACGAACGAGGAGGAACCAGGACGAGCGAGCAATGGCAGGACTAGCTGGACCGTAAGTAATAGCTGAATTGTGCATGACAACTTGACATCCATGCGGCACTCGCCACTTGCCACTGCATATTTCTTGTCCACTAACAATGTCTCTCCTCTGCCCCCTGTGTGTCCACGGCCCTGTTGCTGAATTGGCCCGATGAATCGAATGTCTTCCGCAACTGGAACGGCCCCGTGAACGCTGTCGCGTCGGCGACTGAATGCGCAGGAGGGAAAATATTGCTGCGAAGACGTCTCCTCTAGACGACGGTAAGGCACCCATTGATATGTTGCCAGTGTGTGCCAGGGTATCGCGCGATGGTGAATGAGGAATGATGAAGGGTACGGTGGGACTGTAGACCTGTTACCTTCTACTAACACGTTATCAGGTGGAGAGTGTCTTGTACTCACGTTATCAGGTCGAGAGCGTATCATCAGTGTAGTCACTCTCTCTATTCCTGCACTTCATTACGTTTAAGGTGTACGTATAACTTCTCAAAAAAATTTAATGGTCTACAGTCGTATCGGAAGGGTACGGTGGGACTGTAGACATGTTACCTTCTAACACGTTATCAGGTGGAGAGTGTCTTGTACTCACGTTATCACTATATCAGGTCGAGAGCGTATTGTAGTCACTCTCTCTATTCCTGTACTTCATTACGTTTCAGGTGTACGTATAACTTTTCCAAAAAATTTAATGGTTCACGTCTTCAGATAGAGAGCGTATTGCACCCACTGTCTAGTCTCTGTAGTGCATTGAGATTTTGTTGATCGAACATGAAATGGATACACAGACAAAGCCAGGCCAAGTACATGGCGAGATGTCGCCAGAAGAACGTCTTCAGGTAGAGAGCGTATTGCACCCACTGTCTAGTCGATTTTGTGGATCGCACATGAAATGGATACACAGACAAAGCAGGCCAAGTACATGAGAGAGTGGACGATGTGCAGATCGACACGGCCTGCGGGTACTTCATTAAAGTTACCCGTGACATAACTAGGATAAAAGTTAATCACTGCAAAAACATTGCCAAGTATGTGAGCACTTTGGACTTGACAGAAGAGTGCACGGGCAACGTTGACAAAACATACTGCGGTGACTGTCACTATCATGACAGCAGGGCACATCGCACGCAGCATCGCAGATCGTGTCGAATTGCGCATCATAATATTGCAAAATTGCTCCTGTGCATGCAAGTGGATTTCATTGCACTTCTCAGTTTGGGAAATGCTCGATTATGACAATTCTCCGTGTGAGTGCACTAGCCCTGAACAGACATGTAGGTGAACCATTTGTGGTGTCTCATAGCCTACCTCATGACCTTCTGCTTCCTTTCTTCATCACTTGTATCTTGCAGGTATATCATCCCGTGACGACCACATTGAAGTCTGAATTTGAAGTGTGAAGATGCTTCAGCAACCACATCGTACTTTTCCATTGCTTTCATTGTGCTTCTACTGTGCATGTGTGTAACTTGTGGGGTAAACATGTGATGACATTGTATGCTGGCGACACGGTCAGATGTTCATGCGTCTAACGTACACCTGCATGTTATGCATTGAAAAGGGTTTGCCACTTGCGATCCTGGGACGAGTATCAGGTCCGCTTTGTCCTGTGTGGGCTGTATCAGATTGCTGTTCACTTCTCTATCTGTTGGATATGTGACTTTCTGCAAGTTTCTGGTGTATGATGGCCACGTCCTTGCTTGTCACTTTGTATGATATTACATTCTGTATTCGCTGCTTCCATGGCATGGTCTGCAAACTGCAATCCTTGGGCAAATGTCATGTTTGCTATGTTGTGCTTTGGCCGTCAGCTTGTCTACACGCTGTAGTTGAATTATTTTTGTTTCACAACTGACTTCCTCAAGTACGGTGGCCACTGCTTTGCATGGCATTATACATGAAGAATTTCCTGTTTGTGTCGTGTGCATGTGCGTATGTGTGCGTGGCCACGTGTGTGTGCCGTGTGCATACACATGTTTGTGTATCTGTGTGCGGGGTAGCAAGGCGGGGAGGGCTGGTATGTATCAGTGTGTTATTGCAGTCGCATGGCTACATACAGTACATCGCGCGCGTGGTCAACATGTTTACCTTCGGGGTTGGGGTGGGGAGGGAACGGAAAAAGAGCTGAAATTATCCATATAAAAATCGCTCTGTGAGCGGTTCTGAAAAACCTTTACTGGTACTGCCCCGTCGTAAAAGTAAGAAATTAGAACTGGCCCATTGTCCCCCCAAATGCGAACTGATCCACCTAAATCGCGAATGACGGGACCCGAACGCACCAGTAGCACGAGGTTCCTACCTGTGGATGCAGATGGGGACGTTGGTCCGGACCATAGGCCATGTACTGTACTAGCGGTAGGCTTCCCTATCAAAATAATAAATTCTACTGCTACTACTGGTGTTACCCTATGATAATTGCCGTGATCCTGTGCCCTCCCGACCTCGTGCTACTGGTGCGTTCGGGTCCCGTCATTCGCGATTTAGGTGGATCAGTTCGCATTTGGGGGGACAATGGGCCAGTTCTAATTTCTTACTTTTACGACGGGGCAGTACCAGTAAAGGTTTTTCAGAACCGCTCACAGAGCGATTTTTATATGGATAATGTAAATACACTGTATACGCGTATCGAGTAGACTCTACTACCAGCACAAGGCAGCAGTCGTACCACTCACTGCACTGCACTGCAGTACAACTACAAGTCAAGTCCAAAAGGAGCCGCCTGCGTCCGCAGACTCACGCCGCACAGCACGTACGTAGACGTGGACGTGTTCAGTCCACGTACGTCAGTCACACGACAGCCCGCCGAAAAAAAGTTACGGTCGGGCTGAAATTGTACGGTCGGTCGGGTGAGTCGAACCACACACCTTCTTTAGTTTGGCCTTATTGCATATGTTCTTGGTTTAGTTTTTGGCCTTTTTCGTGCTTTGGAGTTGATAACATTTTCCTCACTAGGGAGGTTTCGCTCTACGTAATTACGTATGAAAATCCGTATGTCGTACGCGCCGGGGAGCGAGGGCAACTTTCATACGTAAATCTCTCTACGGATTTCCGTAGGAAAGCTCTTTCCTACGTTGGGTCCTCCGTAGGACTTTTCGAAATATTTTTTCGCATTTTCCGCATTTGTCCATGGCAACATTCAAGCCGCGCGAAACACAAGGTACACACACCGTACACCACGTGCAAAATATCATGGAAAACGCGGTTTCGGTTCATGGTACATGCGGTGGGCGCATGCAGCCAACGCGTCTCCAAAGCAACAACGTACTACTTTCACTTTAGCTCATACGTGTACATGTACATCCTTCAAAGCGGTGAACCCCTTGATAGGCGACAAGCCTCTGGGTCATCCTAATAAAGATATTATTATTATTATTATTATTACGTATGTTGATCAGTCGTGGAGAAATCACGTAGAGCGAAACCCTACAGCTCTGATCTTTACGTATGAAAATTCCGTGCAGTTCATACGTTATTTTCGTACGTAATTCCGTAGAGCGAAACCTCCCTACTATCGAAACTATACGTCATTCAAAAAAAAAAAAAAAACAACCCTGGCAAAAAAAAAAAAACCTTCCGGAGATGAGTGCTGAATGACAGCTTCGAGTCAAAGGTCACTCCAAGTAAAGAGAGAGCCTTCTCCTCAAGGACAGGAGTGCCGCCGAAGACAATGCGAGGCA